GTAGGACGCCGACGACAATTCTTCACAAAATAAGTCGGAACTTGGTTCTTTTTAAAAGATTCTTCTAGCATTTTTTTCACTTAAATAATACTTATTTAATCATACACTCTACTTGCATATGAGGTTTCAATTAATTATTAATTTTTCGTAATTTGCATGCCAGAACTTTTATTTATAGTTCAAAATAGGCTATTATTGTTTATTTTTCAACTTTACTACAACGAGTAAATATAGAATTTATTTGCAATGCTATGTGGTCGGCAGGACAGTTGCGATAGCCTAATAACGAATATTCAAATATAAAGTTTGAAGGCATAGCTATTTACTCAATAGCTTAGTCTGAACAAAAATTTAATTTTTGTCTCTATATCACAGGAATTTGGATCACATAGAAACAGATTCTAGCCACTATGGCAACTAGAGTGAAAATTATTTTCGTTTGAAGTACAGCTCACTGAAAAACACATGCCCGAAAGTTTGGGCGTTCAATCCCTCGCTTAGTGGAATAGTGCAATAAAAAAAGAATATTTGCAAATAATATGTAATTTTTTTATCATATAATAGCTTAAACTTTGTCGATGCAACTTAATTTACCTGTTATAGGGACAGATGACCCGCGCGCTATTCGCCTTTAACACTCAAGGACTTCGCCATCAATGCCTGAGGTTGCGGTCTTCCAGACAGCGCTCCATCGGTTTACCTCGAGCCGTCTCCTCGACTGAACAATCGGCGAATGAAATTAATTTTTTCTGGAGAAAAGCCTTTGCTGAAATCGATGATGCCTCAAACTTCGATGAGATCTCTTCACATTCGACCTCCTCAAATGATGTTTATCCCGATGACGGAAGTAGAGAAATAGAGCTTACCATATCCGACAAAGATGCTCCCCTTTCTAAATGGCGTTTTATGAATTCCAGCAAAGAACTAGGGCTCAACAGTCAATCACATGGACTATGGGATAATAACACTCATCAGAAGACTCATTCGTCTGTACCAAAGGCAACCAGACCGAGAATCCAAGATATTGACCGAGAACTCAGTAAATATCGTTTTTAAACGCATGGCACAATCCACCTACGACCAAATAAACCAGGTTCACTTGTCTCTTCATATTGCTTCTTATGTTGGAGAAAGTTGTTTAACCAAAGGCAAATTAGGCACAATATATTAAAATACAACTTGAGTCAGCCTCAGAAGTTTAAGGGGATGCAAATAATTATGGTTAAATTTTCCTCGTCGAATTAAGTATACCTCCCCACGATACCACTGGATTTAGTTTAGAATCGCCTCATAAATGGCTTTCTCATCTCGGGTAGACGACAGTTTTAACCTCGCTCTGGAGGCCTCAGCACCCCCAACGAGGTTAGAAACTAGGCCTTGCGCATCAAGCAGCAATCTTGCCACTTCGCCATAGAGTAACGACTGCCAGTAAATGACAGGACAGATGTGGATTTCAAGGCAAGTCAGGTTTAGCCCAATTCGTATTTATAATGGGATTTTATCAGTAAAGCGAATTTACATTTGTCATTACTACCGAGAGCATTATGGGAAATTTTACTATCAACTAGTATTTCAGCTTAAGCGAGCTCGAAGACTCGGGTTCATGAATATGGCTTTATCTATTTGCGCACTTAAAAGTTTGAAGATGATAATAAGCCAAATAAATTTTTTGTTTAAGGCTCTGATACCGACATTCATTAAAAAAATTCACACTTTTATTATTATTATTCGAGTCTTCAACCTGCTAATATACTCATAGAATTAATGTCTTGAAACAATAAAATAAATTAGACCTTATGTCGTAGATACAGTAGGTATTTCATCTA